AGGAACAGGCGTAGCTTTAAGGAGTTTGTTACTTAACGGCTGCAGTGAGAGAACAGGATAAAATGCTTAAGCCTTTTTCTCTGTATAATGCCAACATGTTGGCTTTCAAAAAATCTCAGTGAAAAAAATTGGTGGATTTTTTAAAAACCAAAAGGATAGCAATCGAGACTCCCGTGCAGTTCTCCAGAAGTCTAATGCTTTGAAGAAAATTCAAATGCTGGTCCAAAGAGCATTATCACCACCCCTGCATTCAAGAGAGTTACTTGACAGGTGGCCTGGGAGAGGCTGCAGTTGCATTCTGCACAGGCAACTTTTGTCCAACTTCAACAGGAACCAAAATTGAAGAATCGGTTATTGCAATCTTTTTCTGAAAACTGCGGTTGTAGTTTCTTCCATAGCATTAATGCCAGCCTGTTTTGCCATTGCTCAGAGTTAAATGGATAGTTAGAAAGTCAATGCACTTATATCAGTCCCTTTAAGAAAGGGAACATTTCACAATGAGTTAATGGAGAGGATGAAGAGAAATGGGAGTGCTTTTACCAGTAACTTGCAATCCTCTCCTCCCCCCAGTCCCATGTCTGATACAGTCCAGCAAATATCTGAACAACTAAAAAATGGGAATGGCATGCGCCTGGTTGAGACACGTCTTCAGTACAGAACTCAACGCTCAGGATCAGGGCAAAGCCTTTTCTGGACAGACATGGCTGGATGAATGCATCTAACTGCACTTTAACTCAGCGATCTTCACTGGCCGATCCAGTACGTGCACCTTATCATCTCAGAGGAGACATCTTCAGAAACCACCTCAGTTGAGCTTCATCTTTGTAACCTGGAAGCGGGGCTCATGTTCTGGAAAAAGCAGCTCCTCTTCAGACAAAGGACACCCATGGGAAGAGTACACAACAATAGCAGTGGGAAATGGAGAAAGGAAGAGTAACCAACACCCAACATGGATTCCTTTCAAGTTTTGTTCTCATCGTATATGTCCAAGACTGGCTCAATCGTTGAGAATTCACTCTCATAGACCAGGCTTCGAGGAGAGAGAGAATTGCGGTGAAAGAAGTGGCCACCTAGAAGAGGCAGAACAGAGAAATGGCTGTGTTAGAAACACCTGCGAGTCTATACAACCAGACAAAAACCAAGAGCAAAGTCTTGTCTGCATCATTACTCACTCTTGCAAGTAATTCAGTTCTGATCAGGAGCATAATGTACACATAAAAATTAACCTTCTCGTTAAAACACTCACCAGTACAAAAAACAGAGGAAAGATGAGCATGAGGACTCCTAACTTCGTTGCATCTTTATTTTAGGAGAGTATAGGATTGAAAGCAATCATTTGTTTGGTACCACAACTGTTCAGTGTGGTCCTGCACTTCAAACATCCTCACCTGGTTTGCCTTCTGCCATGTATCATGCGCTCAGCTGGGTGTAGGCAAGTAAACAGTGTCCGCTGAGGATTGGACTATGGCCAAATTTATTTTTACCTTCAGCAGCTAACTAATTAAATAGTTGTGCTTTGTTCACCAAGTTGGTCTAGAAATCTGGGTACAGCACTGCAAGCTGGGAAGCCCCACATTTGAGCTCCAGGCTCCAAGACACCCTACTGCTATACAGTGCTAAACTTGGGAATATTGAAGATTTGATGTCCTTTATTTTGCATGGCACTGTCAACTGGTGGAAGAAGGTATGTGCATGTATGATCCCACCTCAAATGGTTCTTTCACCAGGAAGAGAGGCCTAGTCTCAAGGATGGTGGAGCATGTTTGAGTTAGCAGTCATTAAAACTCCAACTTGCAGTGAGTTAGAGCAAGATCCAGTTAAGAACTCCTCACGCATCTGGCCTGAGACACTTAAGAGTTAGACCCCTTGGACTGTGATTTAAGAGCAGCCAGGCTGAATGGGGAGGCACCTAGACCTAGCCAAGAAGTCATGTATGTAGGCAGGCATGCATCTGAAGTCTGCCCCTCTCACAACTCAGATGCCTCACTCAGAGCTGCAGGAAGGACCCTCCAGGGTCCCTTCCTACAGACTTATTCAGTTCTTTGAAAGAATGGATGTAAGGCTCACTCCCTTCCTTCCCTTTGAGAGTGTGGTAGGCAGTACTGATATTTTGTCTAATGCTCTCCCATGACACAAGATGCAGATTCAATTCATTTCTCAGCCCAAGGGGATGCAAACCCACATCTCCCTGGAGACTGTCCTAGCTATAGGCTTGCCTGGGTGGCAGCCCCTCTCCAGGAACATGTTTGAGCCTGCAATTTTGGATTTATTGGGATTCACGTGTCACTTTGGCACAAGAACTCCTGTTGGAGTCTGAAAGCTCTACTAGAAGAGTAGGGAGTAAAGGGGGCAATGGACCCCTCCCATTGCATGCTGTTACCCTACCCCCCACCCAAAAAGAGGTAGCTTTGTGGGCATTAAGAAAAAGCTGGTTTTGCACTCTCACTGTGGGAGTTGTTACAAAGGTTAAGTAAAGATGAACCGTGCACTTATCAAAGCAAAAGGCCTAATAATAGTTCTGTCTGGGACCAAAAATAGGGTGGATGGGTATGTCAGCTTCCTCTTCTGTAGCTCTGACAATGCACCGCACACTCCGGACTCGCAGCGACATCTACTAATTCTAGTCCTGAACCGTCCAGTGGCCGCGTGACCCAGACAACAAGCTAGCACTGAACGGTCTCCACCAGTCCGACTTGGAGGGGAACCTTCTTGAGAAATGGTTAAAGGAGTGAATTAATCTACTACCTTAATCTTCCATGAGAATAAAACAGTAGTTAAAATTCCACAAGATCTGCCAATAAAGCAGATATTTAGGCGGATATAAAGAAACACACTGTGCTGGAAGGGGGTGAGAGAGGAGGAGAGACCAGCAGATATGACAATTGAATGACTGGTGCTCAATTTGTGGATTTGAATCCTATCCCAGACTTAAGCTTCCTGGAACCATACAATGCTTTAATAAAGAAAGATGTATTTATTTACACAGATCAGCATGGGACTTCAGCTCCCAGAGAGATCATAGTCCCTCTTCAAACAAACCTGAACTCCACCATAAATATCTACTTGGGAAACATATGGGACAACATGGGTATTCGGAGCCTCCTGCATTACATGTTTTCCACTGTGTCCTTCTGCGTCAGCATTTCAATTATGATCATCCTGTGTCCCATTTTACACTGCCCAAAATGAGCAATGGGGTTTTGAACCTTTTGCCGCCTCTGCCACCCTACTGAAATGGTACACATTGTACGACTGATGCGGAGGCAAAACAAAGGGCCCCTAAAGACTCAACACTGCTGCTCTTTGTTTTTATTACACAAAATCAAACAAGGGATTAGGAAGCAGACACCCGAGGCAATCATTTCCTCTATGTGCAGAGAAACTTGCCCTCTAGCAGACTCAATGGGGAGAGTTTAGTTAACAGGCAGGCAACCATAAATGTTTCCTCTGACAGATCTGTTTAATTAATCTGCAAGCAAACACTGTGCACTCAGCACCTCCCATGCCTTGCTACCTTCAACGCTTTCTTGCTTCCCACAAAAGCAAATTTACCTTGTCCACCTAGAGGAATTGCATCTTTATATCCAGCCTGTACCTTTACATCCAGGTACAGACTGTTCTGCTTCAATAGCATTTTTGGAGCTCATAATTCATTCTCTAATGCCTCCTATTCAAAGTAAGTCAGCTAAATCAAATTGCATTTTTCACAGTCCTTCGTTGGGTAGCAGAACTGCCTGTGCACCAGAAAAAGTCCCAAAAGATGCCTTTGTTAAGCCAAGTATTGCAGGCACTCTCTGCCAGATGCAGACAACTGAATGGAAGTCCCCCTTCTTCTCTCCTTCAGTTCCTTAAGGCAAATTTTTTCTGTTGGCCTTAATCCCACAAACACCCAGGAGACAGCACACCAGCCATATGTTGCCCGTCCCCTCTTGGTACTGAAGGTCGTGTTTCAACATGGCACCTTCCACCCAGAGAAGGTAAAGCCTTATAACGGGGCTCAAGAAAGGACAAACCTACCCTCAGAATGCATCTCAAGGCAAATATTCAGTGCGATACTATCATCACTATCCAGCTCGGAGAATGTCATCACTAGATCCCAAAGGGTTTACACAAAGGAGGGAAGGCTCACTATCCGCATTTTACAGAGGGGGAAACTGAGGCCTAGGGTGGTGAAGTGGTTTGTCCAAGGTCACTTAGCAGATTACGAGGAGTGAAGAAAACCAATCCTAGTTTCAACCCAGTGCTCTCCATTTGGCAACACTGCTTCTCCTCCACTGCAAAGATATTTTGGAAGAAGCTTCCATTCAACAGGACAGCTCTTGTGTCGTGTAAAGCTACCGGAGAATTAAAACAGAGCTCCAGCTTGTTCTAAATTTGCAGGGGTTCTTAGTCAGAAGTTTAAAAGGACCCTTAGCACCTTGCCTAACATGCTTTTTCCTCCCTTAGGCAGAAAGCTGCTTTGTTTAAAACTGAGGTAATCAGCACTCTGTAAATCCACTGCCACGTTGGGCATGAATAGATCTCAGTAGCATGCAGCAACATGCACACGTCCAGCAAATTTCTGACAAAGACATAGTATACTCTTCCCATTTTGCAGCTACCAAGACCACCTGAGAAAGACTGCACAGAAGCCTCACTATCCCTTAGATGGGGAAAGCAAACCAAAGTGAATTACTCCTATTTACAAAGGTCAAAATAAATACATCTTAAATACATCCAGCACCTTGCTATTATTTTTTCAGTATTTAATTAGAGAAAACCATTCAACAGTGATTGAACACGAATGTGAGCTTAAAACTGACAATAGCTTCACCATGTGCTGCGGGGATAGGCGCAGTACAATGGCATGTATTAACAAGTTACTGTAGTGCTGTTGCATATATGCCAGGTACTACTGGGGGTCCCTTTGTATTTACACTTTTATGCAGCAGAGTTCAGAGCTGCATAGAGCTGGGTGCTGTGCAGAAACGGAGACGCTCCCTGCTAAGAACAGCTGACTCTGCAATGCTTTCTCTCAACACGGAGATATGGTTCGGGCACACCTTAGGCTCTTTGCACTGAATGATCCATTTGGACACTAGGAAGATGTAAAGTAGCAAGAGAGCCAAATGTCACCAGAAATTTTTTTCCTCCTTGGCAGCAACATTTGGCAAAAGGAAGAGAATGCTGAAGGACACACTTCTTTGTATACAATCGCAACAAGAGGAGCTGACAAACCCTTGCTCTAAGCATTTATACCTAAAAGTAGTGGATGGCGAATGACTGTAGGCTGTTCTTCTGCTGGCCCAGAAGCACACATGTATTCACCTTCCTGGGGTGGTACAAAATCTACTTAGTGAATGACAGTAAGGTAGAGTTTTATCTTTGGTTTGAACTTCAGTTAGCCAGCTTCTCTACTTTGTGAGCATCTAATGGATGCAATGATCAGAAAACTCGAAACAAAGTGAAAGGGCGAAGAAACGGGGGTAGCGGATGTCAAAGCCTAGAACCAAGAAACTAGTTAACTTTATTCCTGGTACCAGTCAAAAGACAGCTCTTCACTTGTGGCATTGGCCTGTTGAAGTGTGAAACAGCCCTGGCTACGGTGTCCCTCAGAATCTGGGCCCTAAAGTTTGATGTTTTTCAGAAATAGCTCTTTACATTACTTTGAAAAATAACCTTAAAATGATAATCCCAGGTGGTAATGGGAGTATTTGACATACTATTTCAGTTGTCTCATACTGTTAATAAATGGACAAAAAATGAAATCTCTGAACTCTCTAGTTTGTGCATCATACTTCACTGTACTTCACTCATCTGTCTCGGTATCAGTATTCAGCAATACTGGGTTTTATAAGTAGTCAGTCCTAGGGCATAATATATAGGGTTGTTCCTCCTCCCCTTTTTAAATCCATCCAAGATTCCCAAAACTGATTCACTGCTTTCTTCATTGACTGTATTTGTGATTCCTTCAAAATTTCAGAGGCTCTATTTTAAAAAAAAAAAAAAAAAAAAAAAAAAAAAAAAAAAAAAAAAAAAAAAAAAAAAAAAAAAAAAAAAAAAAAAAAAAAAAAAAAAAAAAAAAAAAAAA